TAAGAGCACAAAAGCACAACAAAGACCCAGGAAGTGATTAGTGGCTTAACGAGGAGGAGGCTTTGCAGGGAGTTACGGGGGCAGCATGGCCTCTTCCATAAGAGGAGGTGAGGGGGTTAAAGTTTCAGGGCTTAAGAGGTCAGTGTTAAGTTGTGGAGGTCAGTGGAGGGGTTAATTAGGAGCAGGGCTTTTGTTTACGGTGGATAAGGAGGCGCAGGAGGCGATTCACTGGGTATCCTCGCTGTGCTCCTCCAGCCACCCTGGAAGTGTCATCCAGCCCTGCTCTCCTTCCTCCTCCCTCATTGTCCCGCCGCTGAATGGAGATGTAGCTGAATTAACTTAATTGTCACCATTACGACACACTCGCCCCCTCATCACCACAACACACCCATACACACCTCGATTATGTTTGGTTCGTCCTTCCTGCTTCAATTAGAAGAATGTATTTTCAACTTGGAAGAGCCCTGGCCATGACTGTCGCTCTGTGTGTGTTTGTCCATTGTTTTCTGCTGTTTAAACACACACACAGAAACATGCTGCAATCCTTTGGAGAATCAAGCCTCTCAAGTAGAGCCGAATGAACCACTCCATGTGAATGTGGTAACAAGAAGGAACTTACCTGACATTGAAACGTCTTCTTGGCTGCATCATTTTTCCTTGGCGATCCCCAAAAAATCTCCGCTATCGGGTTTACTGTCAGTCTAAAAACGTTTTTAGCACGTACTCCTGTAACCAAGCATGACCTTTGGTTTAAAGAAAGGATCAACATTCATGCAGCAGAGCTGGAGATAACATATTTTTTTATTTCACACATTCGTTGTCAAAACCTGGCACTATGTAACCCACAATGCAACTCAACCATCAAAAGTTTGGTTGGATATTCCGATGTGTTATGCCAGTGGTGGCTAATGTAGCTTCGAGATGCTAGCCACAAGTCAAAATGAGGAGCGATCTTTTTAACCCCAGATTTGTTCAATTTTCAGATACTTAAACTGTTTGCGTTGGGCTGTTATTATTTTAATTAATGTACAGTAAAGCCTATTTGATTATATTTAATGAAGGAGAGAGATTACCATGCATCATCTGGGGTAAAAACTGGCACACGTCTCCTCACACCGCCATGCAGGGACATCTGTCTGTTGGGGTAATTGGCATTAACCCTTTAAAGCTGGGTGACCCCCTTTTTCACGCCCAACACATCTCCACTGGACCTCCCATTGGAGTTTTCATGTTTGTGACGACAACATTTAATGAGATGGTGCACAACGTATAAAAGTGTGTGTTTTGGTTTACTAAGGCCCTAAAAGAATCACCTTTGTATTCATCTTTCACACTCATAGACGCAGTAAATCTGCACTAAGGGTGCCACGCTCCAAAGCATATGGCCCAGGCCAACCCAATATGTGTTAATGCTGATTGAATATGCGGCTCTATTAGACTAATGTTAGCAGGCCCCATGCTAATCCAAGGTAAGAGAATGGAGCTGTGGCTTATCTCTGAACTTATGGATATTAGAGAATAGAAAAGTGATTAGAAAGTGATTAGAGTGGACGGAGACCACTTAGAGAAACGTATGCTTTCAGCTCAGGGTGAGAATTTCAATCACACTGTCCACATTATTGCTATTAATGATGAGAGAGGCTTACCGCCACAACCATAGAGGTTATGAGATTTAGACGATAGCAGACAGAGATGTCAGCCTGTCTTTTTTTTTTAACATGTCATATCACAATATATTTTTCTATGTTTAAAGGGCCTTCTTGTTTATTTATTTATTATTAATATTATTAAATATTCTCTAAAAGCTAAGTCAAGGTCAATATTCGTCTTGTGGTTGTCTTCACACAGGATTTACTGTTATGTTAGTCATTGCACTGCAAAACAGATGAAATATAAAATGTATTTAAATTGAAAAGGAAAAAAAAACGACAGCAGTGTGGGTTTATTTAATAAATACATTTAAATTCTTTGCACTTTTCAAAACAAGTTTCCAAATTCTTTACATGGTTTGAAACAGGATTAAAATAATTCAGGACGGAAAAAAGGCTATAATAAAATCAATAATGTGGGATATACAATAATAATAATTATAATAATAATACAAATAATAATAATTATAATAATAAAATACATGATTGAAATAAGATAGTGTGCTAACATACTATTTTTGAGATAATATCACAAAGAAAGTTTCTTGTTTTTAAAGTAAATACTATTAACTTATAGATGATATGAAGGCATGTAGATATCTTATCTCAAATATATCACTGCGACGGAATTTCATAATTTTTTTAAATGTTTTTATGATGCCGTTTTAGGTCCAATGGCACGGATTTTAATTTACTGACTGACATGACTCGTTTTAATCTTCTTTAGAGTTCTGGAAAAAGCTAATAAGTGTTCGGTTTCCTGTTGAAATAGGTCACAATGGAGAGTCAATTCAGAAGAGAGTCCAGCTTGTGCTTAAAAAGAGGGAGATAAATCCTCTGTGTTTGATTGACAGGGCTGCCATGACAACCCCGCATCAGCTCTAGGGTGTCCAATCAGGAGTCAGATCCAGGGTCCCTCCCTGACTCCCAGGTGAGCTAAAGAGTCAGACTTCAGCAGATTTCTGTCAGACTCTTTCCGAGACGCACTGCTCTCTGGTTTCACTCTGTCATCCAGATGGTGTTCAGGTCGCCACTCGACTTTTTCTCAGCCTCCCGGATCCTCCTGCCACACTTTGCAGATGGGCCACCTACCCTGGCCCGCTCCCGGTCCCCTGAGGACCCTCCCTCCGCCTGTCCTCCCCTGGCTCTCCCGGGAATGTGTTTCTCCGCGGCGCAGATCGCCAGCGTCTGCGAGACTCTGGAGGAGACCGGAGACATCGAGCGGCTGGCCCGCTTCCTCTGGTCCCTCCCGGTGACCGCAGACGGGCGCGACTCCATCTCTGAGCACGAGTCCGTGCAGCGGGCTCGCGCCGTGGTGGCCTACCACACGGGGAGTTTCGTCGAGCTTTATCACATCCTGGAGACGCACCGCTTTACGCGCGCATCGCACGGAAAACTTCAGGCGATGTGGCTTGAGGCTCACTACCGGGAGGCAGAGAAGCTCCGGGGGAGACCGCTTGGACCTGTTGACAAGTACCGCGTGAGAAAGAAGTTTCCGTTACCGAGGACAATCTGGGATGGTGAGCAAAAGACGCACTGTTTCAAAGAGCGCACACGGGGGCTGCTAAGAGAGTGGTACCTGCAGGACCCCTACCCAAACCCGGGGAAGAAGCGGGAGCTGGCCCACGCGACCGGACTCACACCGACTCAGGTTGGAAACTGGTTCAAGAACCGGAGACAGAGGGACCGGGCGGCAGCAGCCAAAAACAGGTCAGTGACTTTGACTTGGAATAAGTAACAGTTAGAGAAAACATATTGGGCTGAAAATCCACGCCATAGCAGCCAGAATAAAGTTGTACTAATGATTGTGTTGGTATAGGATCGAAACACCATTAAAGTCAAAGCAACTTTAATTTCCCCAAAAGCAGCCTCTTTATTGATTACTCTTACTCATTCTCTTGTTGAGGCAATTTCGTCTCCACAGGCAGCCAATGTTGTGCGTAAAAGAGGGCCATTCATGCGTAAAAACGCACAGCCATTCAGCTTGTAGGTTTTTGTTTTCCTTCTGTCAGTCTGACCTGGACGATCTTTCCTCTTTCTGTCTCTCACTATAATTTGCTTCAGGATCAGTGTGTGGGTCATCCTGTTGATGAAGACAAAATGTTCACTAATGGGTGCAGATTGCCTGACATGCATGCACTGTAGATAATTTAGTTGGACAATGGCTTCATTTCTAACATTTCTATCAATTTTAACAATTTTATCACAAGCAGAGTTTCCCACTTTTGACACATCTTTATCACTGTTTTTAGGTTGCAGCATCACCGGATGTGTCCAGATGGTGTTCGGTCGCTCAGCGGAGGAGAGTGCAGTCCAGATGAAGAGCGAGCAGATGGAGAAACTCTTCTCTCAGTAACAGACAGTGACTCTGACTTGGATGTTTAAGACTTGAATGTACAATGGACCTTCGAGGGGCCTGTGATGGTCAGTTGTGGATTACCAGAGAGCGGAGGATGTGGACAAAAGGCTCTTCACGGTTTGGGTTGCAATAAATGTTCAGGGCTTATCCCCAGCCCATCAAACAGGTGATGTAACAAGTTGCATGAAGTTTTTTTTCTTTTGTTTCCTGACAATGTGAAAAATGTTTCTCTATGCTGCTGGGTTTAAGTTTGTTTGATCACCAGACCCACATTTTAGATTTTTTAACTTCATCCATGCATGGATGGTGCATCTGTTGACCCAGCTTACCGTCACCCTGATTAAACAGACATCAAGCCGTGGACCCCCGTTGGACTTTAACCCATGGACCCCCCACTTGGGAGGACCTTTACAGACTGCCAGGGAGATAATCACTCTTATTTTCTCTAATTATGTGTCATTATGTTTTTTTTTGTTTTTTTGAATTAAACGAGTTGTTTCTCTAAAAGACCAGGATGTCATGCTGTAGACAATCAATACGCACTAAAGCCTTACCTTCCTGTCTGGCTGTTTCTATGTTATTGAACTTTTATTTCTTCCTTTACCTTCACTTCTACTTTATTTAAAGTTCACAGAGTTCACTGTGCAGTCTGTGTGTGATACTATGTCAAACCTAATGTTACATTTTATGCTGAATAAATGTTTTTGGTATTTTATATAAATAAAAGTATTTAATATATCACTGGTATTGTGCCCATTCTTCTTTGATAACACCATCACTTTCAAAAATTGTAAATGTTTTTTAAGTTACATTCATGTATAGACAATCAAAGTCAATACATAATAAGTAAAAATATATTAATATAATGCAAAATGAAATTAATAATAATAATGGCCTAAAACAATGGTCTATACATCTATTTGTTAATAAAGGTTAATAATAGTTTTGGTAAATTATGTTTGTTAATCTGTCATATTACCCATCTAAATTTGTTAAATAAAAAACTGAATAGAAGCATATGGTAATCATAAATAAAAAAGCATCTCAGTATGAAGCAAGCTATTAATACAAGTTGAAATGTCCATGCATTCTTGGTATTAGCAATCCATATGGCCTTTCAGCTTTTTTTTTTCTATTACCAAATTTGTTTATTTTTTTACAGATACAATTTATGGATAGCTTTTTACTGCACTACATGTATTATATACCTTAAGTAACCTTTAAGATGCAGATTAATAATGTAGAATACATCAAACATTATGTGTTATAATGTATTATTATATGTTTTCATAACATAAGACATTATTGTTTGCTTGGGGTGATTTTACAAGCCAGTGGAATTTAAACTAGTTAAAACCACCGTCGTATCCTTATCACTATTAATAATCCAGTTATATCATATCAATTATTATAAAATGGGCCATTCTGCATAATATACTTTATTGATGCTAACACTTAAATGCTTTTACATAAGGAACACTTTGAATGCAGGACCTTACTGTGGTTGTATTGCTAAACTGTATTGCTACTTTTAAAATAATACTTTCTCCACTGCTGTCTGATGGGTTCAGTTACTTTCATGCTTTCTCTGTTAAAAATTGTTAAAACGTTGCAATAGTTTCTAATATGTCTGCACTCAGAAGGCTCCCACATTAGGATATCCCACATTTGTTTCTTGCCATATGTTGATTGTCAAGTAAAAATTCACAAGTCTACCCTCCATTGTTGGAAAAAATAAATACAGATAAAAGAAACCGTATGAGTCGAAACACAGTCAGTCACTTTCATTCAGGGCTGCCAACCCTCACGCATTGAGCGTGAGAGTTACGCAATTAACCCATATCTCACGCACTCACGCCACACATGCCTTTCCTCACGCTAAGTTTGCGTCCAAAATAAATGTATATAAATATAAAAATAAAGTGAAGGAACAGTAAACCGAGCGGTCTACGAAATGAGACGGTCTTCTGGCTTAGTTCAGTAAAGTTGGAACGATATTGGGAGATTCGGATTTCACGGATCAATAACTCGTGAACAAAACGTTATTCAGACATAAATGACGTCTCCTAAGTACCGTGGTACGGTTGACAACGAACGAACTACAATCACATTTTGATCAAAAAAAGCCAGTACGCGCCGTCCTCCGAGCTGGACACATTGGTCTCTATCCGCAGCCGGAGAAGAAACGAGTGCTCAGGGACCGTCTGCAAATTGCAACTCCGAAAAAAGAGAATACAATAATATTCAATCACTATTATACAGCTTATTACTACCAAACTCACTACACACATCAATAGTCTCCTGTGTGTCATACTACAGCAAGGAGTTTGGAAGAATATGCTTTTGAATAATATTGGGGAATATTTATATTGTAAAATCTTCAATAAATATGGCATCATCTTCAATAACTTTACTATTATACAGTAGCCATATGTCTACCAAACTCACTATTTGCATTGTTGTTGTTAGCATCTGGTTAGCTAGCTGCGCTAACGGATATTAGAAGCTGTTTCTAAAACAAGGAGAGGGAGAGCTCTCTCCTGTCAGACTGAGAGGCTCAGTGAGGTAAGATAGTTAGTGTTTAGACTTTAGTCTAGTTATCTCAGTGGGTCTCAAACGTTTTGGTCACCATTTATGAGAATAAATGAAAAACAGTTATGAAATACTATATGACAGTAAAACAAGAATACAGTTTAAAACGTGAGTGATTTGTAAAATATCCATAGGGCCTAAAGAAAAAGAAAATCTGTTTACAGTTCTGTTTCATATGGGTGTTGAGAGATGTATCCATCAATTCAGTTTGCTCTCAAAATGCATGGTTGATGCATTTAACTTCAATAAAAAAAAAAGAAAAAAGCTGAAAGCCCTGCTTTCATTCATCTGCTCAGCGGCTGACCAACACAGTGGCGCCCCCCCGTGGTTAAAGTAAACACAGTCAAATAAAGATGTTGGCTTTTATTCATGAAATAAACAGTTCTAAATTACACGAACTGAATTTGAATAGTGCACTCAACAGGTCAGATAGATTTTTTTAATTTAAACGATGATATTAAAGAGCGTTACATTCCCTTCAGATTCTTTATTTAACACTGTCCTTAGCATTGTACAGAATAAAAGCTTACTTAGTCCTTTTCCCCAGCAGCTTACTATAAGGTGATTTAAGGGCATTCAGGGCATATAGTTAAATAGGACAGAAAAGCTTAACAGGGTTTATTTTCTTGTGAGTTAAAACTTTTTTTGCTGAGCTCCAAATCTTTCAAATAACTCAAGCTTGTGGGCGGGGCCAGCTTCAAACAGGAAGTTGAGCAACAACGCATAGAGGTGAGGACAGTAACATTTATGGGTTTTTGCTAGTTTTCGTCACAAGGTCGTACAATTATTATACTGCACAAACCTGTAATGGAAACAAAACAGTCATGTACTACTGAAACCAAACCAGAAAAAAAAAAAGTAACGATTTTTTAACTTTGGGAATGTTTTTCAAAGGCTTTGCTAATGAAGATCTCGGTCTACCTTGCAATAGAGAACAGTTGAGTATATGATACACTACTTTTAATTTCTCCTTCTTTGCAGACCCCTAATCAACCGCAAACGTTCACAAACCAACAATAATGGTGCATTAACCTCCTAACCCTTCCCTTACTATATGCCTGATTACTCTATAGCAGAGTAGGCCTACATACAAATAACAAACACCCAAGTCAAGGTTTCTTGGTCAGGGCCTGGTACGCGCCAAATTAAATTCGGGAATTATACCTACACTAGCTCAAACCAATGATAAAATGTTTGGTCCCAATCACCTAAGTGTTACAACAAATGATTTAGAGGGCAGTTTACTCAACAGTCTGTGCCACGCCTCCCTGGAATATGATATACTCTTCTTTTACTTGAATGAAAAGCAAACATCTTCAGTATTACTGAGATGTATCAAGTCTTGTTGTGCTACTTTATGGCAGGAAAACTTACACAAGGCAGATATTCTAAAATGTTTACCTTTTTGCCACTGACTTGTATTGTTACATTTCAACACAATGTCCTTCATTTTTTACAGAATGTAGCCAAATAATATACTTGGGTCTTTCTCGCTGCAGGGTGCCTTTTGGTGTCCTGTACATCATCAAGTTGCTCAAAAATGAAATATAAAAGTTGTTTGTCATATTAGTCTTACATTTCTATATTTACTAAAATGCCTTACTTGGCTCTTTAGACACATTTTCTAGATTTTTTTCAGTTTTGTATAATTTGTATGCTATTTTGCTATGTCCCAAGCACCACCCATTAAATCAGTAAAATTATTCAAATCTTTAAGAAAAAGAATGTCTTCAAATGATTATTTTTGCTAATTAAGATATTACTCAACTTGAGTCCATTGATCATTTGGTGATAAAAATCATATTTTATTTATCAAAAGTTTCTTCTCTCTTCATTAAACTCAAAGTCTAAAGTAAGTGAGTACTGGATTTTCCTATTGAATAATTTTCTTTGGATAAATTAGCTAACATGCTTTTCCTAAGCTGAACATGTCCACCCTGTCAGCATAGAATATGCTGTAAGACATGTAAGTTTAACACTAAATTGTCTAAAAACCAGAGTCAGCTAGTCACAATTTGTTGGAACCAACATGCTAACTGAAGGTCAAAATGTCCACCCTGTCGTTGTACCAAAATGTCCAACCTTTCAACTCTGAGTGGTGAACAGGTTTCATGGTCTGTTTGAAAGGATGTCCAAGAGTTCTGTAATGTTCAGAATTGAAGCTAGCCCCCCAAATGAAAACCAGTATGTTTCTTAAATCAACCTGTGTCCTCCCTGTCGTGAAAATGTCCAACCCGTCGTTGTGTTTTTCAAGTTTTATGAAAATAAATAATCTATTTTCACAAGTTAGAAAAAAAAGTTTTTGTTGGATTTCTATATAAACAAATGAGGACTTTATAGTATTGTCGACATTTTGACCAGATATACAGTATTAGTTGCTGGATTTTATTTAGAAAAGTAAGTTAAACTTTTGCATATTTTAAAGGAAAACAAATGTTTTGCACTAAATTCATTATTACCAAAACACTTTTCCTATTATTTAACATCAATTGTTAAGAAAGGGATAACATATCGTTCTGAAAATGTAAATGTTTGAATCACTGTTTAATGAAAATGTATATAATCTACTTTAAATCTGTCCATGACAGGTTGTACATATTTTGGAAGTGCTCCTATATTGTCTGCTTACAGTTAATTAATGAAAAGTGCAGGAGCTTGGGAAACATGCATTTCTAACAGCCTGATATCTATAATACAATGATTATGAAGTTAAAGGGAACATCTTCACAAATAATGAAGTCTCAAAGGCACCATACAGCGACAATGACCAACTGAGGTTTCATAATTTTGTTTAAATATTTAAATATGTTGTATACTTCTGAAAACTTAAACTCCACCATGCATGTTACAGGTATGAATATTCAAATGTCTTTCTACTGCTCACATTTTATATGACAGATAACGATTTTAATTACAAAATATGAGAAAAATGTATTGCACAACATCTTTAAAATGTTACATGTTATGTTACCCAATGTCTAAATGTATCTATCCCCTTTTACATATATATATATATAAATTCTCAAGTGTCTAGTGGAACTTAAAAAAAGTTTTTACTGTAGTTCCACCAAAAAAACATTTCCCCGTAAAACTTCTCAGACATTTTTATTTAAGTAATTGCTTTTGGTTTTGATACTCTAATTACATTTGGCTTATAACACTTGTGTAGGATTTTAATGCAAAAGATTAACTTGTAATGGATTTGTTTGTTTTTTTGCAAAGGTGTATTGGTACTACTATTACCAACTCTAATTAAAGGATTTTTGTGTCACAGAATTGATCACCGTCGAAACATGGAGCTACGAGTAGCACTTGAATACGGCGTACCGTGACGTCACGTCCTGGGATCATCTCGGCGATACCACGCACGAGCCAGCAGGGGGCGCAGCTGGACAGGCCTGATGTGCAGGTAGGATGTTCAATACAAGTCTTTGTAGAATGTCCCAAAAAAACAACGGTTTTATTAAGTGAGCACAAAGAAATATATGTTATATTTTATTTTATTTTAAGATTATTATTTACTTATTGTTATTTTACTTATTACTAGTTGTAATAAAATACCCATTTTACTAATAATGACTATTATTTCTAATATTAACATTACTATTATAACATTACACTCACTAATACTTTATCTTACCTCATAATATCATACTTTACAATGTTAATATGCTATGCGATCTTGCCACGTCATTATATTATATTTCTATGTTATATTTCTACTTTGTTCATACAGACAGCCCCTAACATCGTGATTTAATCCTATTATTTTATCTTATCTTTTCTAAAACACAGACATATGCAAGTACAGTATACGTTTTAAAGAAAAAAATGTTTTTCTCCTGCATTAAGGTTTCTTTTAATCGCAACATTTACTGTAAGTGAGCAGGCAGATGTTCTGTTCTGTGATTGGTGTGAGTGAAACATCTGAGGGCAGTCCATGATAGAGAGTGACAGTTGCCATGGCAGCTCATTAATCACTCAATGTGACCAATCAACTGAAGCAACAAGACAAAATTAGGGTGATTAGTGGCATGGATGTGTCACATGTGATGTTTATGTTTGCAAGAACCATGTGATACTGAACTTAAACCATGACCTTACTCTAAGTCTAAATACAGAATATAGTTTTTATAATAACAATAGCAAAAAAAGATAATCATTTGTAATGCATGTTTCAAGAATCATAATAGTAAGCACTTCGCATGAGGGGAAATTGACCATAATTGTTATTTAAAGGTCCCATGTCATGGCCATTTCTACTGATCATAATTCCATTGTTGAGATCTACTAGAATAGATTTACATTGTTCAATGTTCCAAAATCACATTGGTTTTCTCATACAGCATCTCTGTGTATTCACTCTCTGTCCTACACGCCTTGTTGGAGCTCCTTTCTGCAGTTTGGTGCTGAGCAGGTAGTATAAAGAACATTTTTACAGCTCTTTATATAAACACAGTAGCCTGCTATAGCAAAAGAATGACACTATGAGACTGGTGATGGCCTAACCACTAAACAATTAGCTAAAACTCACAATAGAGCTCTGTTAAAACAGACGGGAGCTTCAGATATTTCTCTGTAGGATCATACTATGAGCCACTGTTATAAAGTGTTTTTTTAATCCTCACCAAAATGTCACCTGTACAGCAACGCTCTTTCCATCAACAATGGATCAAATTACTTTGTGTAATGGCAAAGAAGTTCCTTATAGTGACGAACCCAGATCATTTTCACTGAAAGCTCTATGAAGTGTTTTCAGCAGCTTTCCGCTCATACTTCAGGTTTTTTTATGGCTCACAACTTAAATGTTTTGCCTAACCGTAGCAGATAAAGAGCCAGATTATTTCCCCAAGAGTTAAAGCAACCAAACCAGTGCGAAAAAAAAGGTGTGTGTGTGTGTGTGTGTGTGTGTGTGTGTGTGTGTGTGTGTGTGTGTGTGTGTGTGTGTGTGTGTGTGTGTGTGTGTGTGTGTGTGTTGTGTGTGTGTGTGTGTGTGTGTGTGTGTGTGTGTGTGTGTGTGTGTGTGTGTGTGTGTGTGTGTGTGTGTGTGTGTGTGTGTGTGTGTGTGTGTGTGTGTGTGTGTGTGTGTGTGTGTGTGTGTGTGTGTGTGTGTGTGTGTGTGTGTGTGTGTGTGTGTGTGTGTGTGTGTGGTGCATAAGGACTGACTGATTGACTGGCTCTATTGGCTGTCTGGACATGGCACACACTCTCCATGCCTGCGGGTGAATTCCACCCCCCTCTTCGTCTGTTTCGTTTAAAAAACACACACACACACACACACACACACACACACACACACACACACACACACACACACACACACACACACACACACACACACAGCCTCTCTCTCTTTTCCTCTTATCCGGCGCAAGAGCCCGGCAGCGGGGGTGACGCGTTTTGCGCATTTCCTGCAGCTCGCGCTCACTCACGGATTCATGAGAGAGAGGCGACGGGAAACAGGGGGCGCGCGCAGGCACTGAAGAGAGGAAAAAACGAACGCGAGCAGAGCACCGTGATGTATTTGGGGTGCTCGTGAGCCCGAAAAATACTGCATTGAGGGGGCAATAAGGCATTGTTTTCCGAGAGTACGCGCAAATATCGCGGTACCGTCAGGTCGAAGCAAGGAGATTATCCCAGAGAAGAGCGAGCGAGGGGCTGGAGGACGGAGCACCAATCCCGGATGGCTAGGCGCGGCTGCTCGCGCTCTCTCCCACCCTGACCCGGGAGAGACACACGGACCGTGGGCACGCTCGGGGGCTTCACGTGAACCCAACCGGAGCTCGTTAACCCGCATTCGCCCTTTCTGTCGTTTTATATCTCGGCCTGTGTCCGCTGTGAATCTTGTGTGGCGCACGGGACCGACCATAAACAAACAAGGCAGCTGCTCGGGTGGGAGAGTGTTAAGCAAGCGACCTCTGAAGGGTGTGTGTCTGCGTTGTTACTGCGTTATTCAGCCCATTAGAGATCAGCTGGACTGTAAGTGTTTGTGTGTGGATAAAACAGGTCTGGGATGTGGCTGTACTAGAGTGAGAGTCCAAGGAACCAGCGGCATTATGGGAAGTAGCAGGACTGTGCAGTGACCCCGCTTATTGGAAGGAAACACTCTGTGTACAGGAACAGGCACACTAGCCTGAACACACGCACACGCATCCTCTTATATATACACTACGCACACACACATCCCAGCAGCCATGCCTGTCTTCAGTGGCCTGTTGAAGGTGCGAGTGTGTGAGGCAGTGGATCTGAAGCCCACACCTTGGGCCCTGCGTCACGCTGTGGGGAAGAGCGGCTCCTTCCTGCTGGACCCTTACCTGGCCCTGAATCTGGACCATACCCGGCTGGGCCAGACCGCCACTAGGACCAAGACCAACAGCCCCGCCTGGCACCAGGAGTTCTGCACTGAGGTCCGTGAGGGAAGGAGTCTGGAGCTGTCTGTCTTCCATGATGCACCCATCGGATATGATGACTTTGTGGCCAATTGCACCATCCAGTTGGAAGACCTGCTGCAGAACGGGACTAGGCACTACGAGGACTGGGTATGTGTTAGATGTTTGACTCCCACAGAGCATTGCTGAAGTAGTCTTCAGGGTCCCGAAAGCCACAGGTTTGCATGTAGGTAAATGTGTGCTTGTTTAGGTGAAACCAAATTTGATAACTGTAGGTCTGCCTACTTTACATCCCCTATCAGTCATTTGGTCTTAGTCGATTCTATTTCTTTAAACAATTAATCATTTCCTAATGCATTTTTCATGCTGAATTATTTATTTCCAAACACTTATTAGCACATCTCTGGTGAACACAATAATTAAAATGTTGCTTTGGTATGTTCATTTGTGGTGAACCTCAAGTATACTCATCTGACGTTTGAATACACAATTTAATTTGGCTACATAATCATATGAGTAGAAGTCGATCGGAATTTCTTTAGGCAAGGACACCCCTAGATAACAGACCCCAGGCCCTCAACCTACAGGAGCCGCTGTTTAAAAAACCTTCATATTCTCTGAAACATGAATTATTTTGTTTGCATTGCACATGTGATGTGGTGCTTGTGCTTACTTGAAGGCATCGGGCAGAAAATGCAAACTGTAGGCTACAGTTTGCCGTGTGGCCCTTTCGCCACAGGATTCACACGTTTTCATCAGCCAAAACCAAGTTCTTCTTACCTATTCATCCAGTAAATTGTCTACTTTGTTCATTTGCTGCTTCACAAAACACATTCATCTACACACACCCCTTCTCCAGAGCCTCCTAGAATAACTACTCTAGGCCAGTGAGCACCTTTGGGGGGGGGGGGCTGCACTGATCTAACTTTTTTCTTTTCCGGTAAATATACTGATCCTTCATCTCAGGTCTACAGATTACTGATCAAAGATACCATTACTGTCTTTTCCCCAGATTTAGGGTAGGACAGCTACTGCATGGAACTAATAATAATACTAATAAACAAATCATCTGTTAATTATTTTAAAGATTCATTGATTATTTATCTGGTGTATAAAATGTCAACAGAATAGTGAACATTCTGGTTTCTCAGAAGGTGATATCTTCAATTGACATGTTTTGAAAGTAACAAATCTCCAAATAATATTTTAACATATTACATACATAAAAGCAGCATTTCCTGCCATTATTGCATGACAATTACCTTTGGATTAAACAATAATAAAAAGAGTTGTCAATCCACTGATCGTTTGGTTGACTTATCGTTGCCGCTCTTAAGGTCAGGCCATCAAGTCATAGAAACGGCTCACGTTACCTTTAATCAAAGATGTTCTCCTCTAACTCTCTTAAATCTGTGTCGGATTTCTCTTGGCACTTTCTTTGGCAGAGCAGCAGTGTGTTAGTTGACTGTATGTGTGTCTCTGGGCTCAGAATCTCAGACAGTGCCTGGTTGTTCAGCAGAAACTAGTTCTGTATTGGGTTCTTAGACAAAGTCATAGTCCAATTTGTCCTCTGCGGAGCTATGGCGGAGTTACTTTGGGTTTACATTACTTATAATTTGCAGCTCGCTCTCTAGAGGGGGAAATTATTTTTGAATTATTACGGTTTCTTGTCAGTTATCTCGTTTGCATCGGGGACTGATGTTGAACTGCCACATGTAGATCTGTATGTAAGGGAGATAAAGAGCTGTTTGTTTGGGGTCTGCCAGATTTGTTTCCAGTTAAACATGTGATCTTGTTCCACTTCTACACTTTGTTTTTATCTCGTCTCGCTTTAGGTTAGATGAAAGGCTGATGAAGGACAAGCATTCTGGGAGCTGAGGACATGCAATTTAAACAACTGAATTTGTTGTTTTGCTTTTAGCTCAATACCTACAAAATACATACACAACTATTTTTACCAAAGTTAGTTGTGAGTATTACTATGCTTTTCCTTTTTTAAGGCAGCCAATTTGTTGTTGTTTATGCAAACTAATAGTGTTTGTATAGCTGTACTTATTACAGATCTGCATTATTGCTATTTATTTTTGTCAAAATTGAATGTTTTCAGCACATTTTTTGTTGAAAAGTCTTAGTTTTGCTTTCTCAGCTAGATAACCATGACGTAATTGTAATCATCAATTTCACATTTGATTCCTTGGGTAGCATATTTACATTCTGCAATACTGTGTAAAGTGAATACGCTATTATAATGAATAAGTATAGACAATATGGATCATTAGGAGGGGTTCAATTGATTTCAAGTTATGTAATGCTTCACTCTATTGGTATACATTGGCATATAAATAGACACACACATACACGCACACTCTCTCTCCACCATCAGATTAAGGTCAGAGCATATGGATCACTCTGGTGATTGACCACATCCCATTGATCAGCTGCCGGCTCGCCAAAACATCTGCCTCACAGCGACACGACCCCTCCCACATCCCCTGTGTCCTCCCTTCATTACTCCATTACTTCTGTTCCTCATCCTCCCCTCTCAAACAGAGATTCCCCTCTCATCGTCCTTTCACCCCCCTCTTCCTGTTTCATCGGCTCCCTCCTGATGATCCTAATGCCATTTAATCTTCGGTACTCTCCGGGGACAGATGTTAAGTTAAGACTCAACTAAAAAACGGTGGAAAACATAAGACGAAAGGTATTCGGTTGTCTGAGTCGTATAGTTTTTCTCCTAATTATTTTAAGTATTTGTGTCAAAATAAGATTTGAAGATAAAAAGAGACTATTGCTGGCATGGAACATTTTTAAGCTTTTATCACCCAGTGTCCCTCTCACGGGATTTTAGGGCTATGTACACCAACATACATAAATTGCATGTATATGAAATGTATGAATTGATCAGTAAGAGTCTTACTAGTTATTAGGGTCATTTTCAAAATGAAAGACCTGTTGTATAAATAATCCAGGTAATACTAATGTGTAGATAGTCATGAATAGACACATACCAGCCCTATTAATTGAATGTAAGCTAACAAATGTACAAAATAAATACAACGAATAGTATACACATATTATTATACATTGTAATACTAAAATACAATTATATAAATATGTATGAAATGTATATAAAAAATATGAAGAAAAAATATATACACACAAACACACACTAGAACTAAGATAGGAATGTGGCCCGTATTGCACCAAATGTATTATTAGAGTGATACATGTTTTGAAAAATAGAATACAATTCCTCAGTATGATGCCATAAACTCATATTAGATAACACACTTCCTGCCTTTAAGATGAACACTGTAGCTTGTGTGCCTCAGCTCCATCTTTCTCACTTCCTCTGCCCTTCTGCTGCTTCACTCATCTGAGCCTCCCTCTCGTCTCAGCACTCTGCTTCCTGCTCTCTTTTGTCTTCCACCACATCTCCATGATACATCTTCTGTGGACCCGAGCGCTGTGGGCCAGGCTGCCGCTCTGTGCCGCCGGTGAAATATTAACCAGGCTTTGATGCTTATTAATTGTCCCATTCAGTAATTGAGATGCTCTGTGGAGCCCATCCCCATGGCGACAATGACAGCCCGTCCCCTTGGTGACAGCCTCTCACCCACAGAAACACTAGCGAAAGCGAGATGGGTAGGTGAGAGTTGGGGGAGATGGGCAGGGGTAAGAAGAGGGAAAACGGAGTAGAAAAGTGCTTTTTTTTTTAGTTTTTTGAGAAAGCAGACTTTTTTTGAAATCATGGCATTTAAAGGTGGATTCTTTGTGCTGCATGTAGGGCTGGGCTTTATGGCCTAAATGTAATATCTAAATATTTTAAGGCCATATTGCAATACACAATATTTTTCGTGATATTTTGAAATCCCTTTCCATACCATTCACACCGGTATATTGACTTTTTTAATAACTCTAGAGCTTTTCATGATGCCCAGGTCTAACCCCAGCACTAATGTGTATCTATATTAAATATAGGGATTATAGAATAGTTACCATTATACTGGAATTATTTACCTCTTACAATATCAAAACTTTACTTGCACATCTTTTCATTATCCAAACGTTTCCATGACTTTCAAAGTGGCATTTTCAAATACCATTTCATTAAAATCTAGCTACAACAAAATGAAAAATAACTACATTTGATGTCACTCAATACACATTATTCTGCACCATTGTGGCCAAAATGATCATTATTAGTATTTTGATCATGATTATTACAATTATTTATTTATGTAAGTGACAGAACAATTGTATTGCTCTTTCACATTGAAATAAACAGAGCACTGCTTTCACGTCCATGTGGGGCTACATCCCCTCTAGCCCTCACACAGCACACCTTCTATGTAAGTTATGACATTAATCCACACACTAGCTGTAGTATGTACGCCACCTTTCGTAAAAAGCACATTGACTTCACTTGTGGTGAAATGTGTTATATAAATAAGATTGCCTTTCATCGGCTAGGCTAGAGGTGAGCCGCATACCGCTGTAAACAAAACCCAGCGTGTGCATTCCTGAGCTAACTATGGTATGGCTGTGGCAGAGAGATGCAAAGGATGATTACACTATTGTTGATTTTACTTTTCATTTCTAAACAAGCTGTTTAGATAAAAAGGTTATTTATGGCCGCAGTCACAGCTGTATATACAAGCTTACGTTCACAATGCAGCCAATTACTTAAATGTGGTATTATCACCAAATATGGGATATGAACTATTGTGTGTTAAATAAATATATATATATAGCATGAAAAATCCACAATTAAGTTATCTTAGCAAACATTATTTTTATAGTTTTTCATAGGATATAATCTTAAAAATGAGGGGAAGTGAAATTATATTTTATATAAAATTAAAGCATGACATCTTTGGGAAAGAACTGTTATTAGGTTTGTTGCTCCTACTCTTAAAACTTTTACATTATTGTCGTTTTAATTTTCTGTTAGCAACTGAATCATCTCCACACTGTGGACCAAATTCTATTCGAAAATCTCCGCAACCATACACCATGATACAAGAATAAGTATCCCTCTTCCCATATCATCTGCTGTTTATTCTGATATGTACATCTGAGTAATACAAATATAATGCTGGTATGTCTTATATACAACACATACTTGTTGCTATCTACTATCAAGATTT